TGCTTTACAAACCTCAACTCAAACACATAATTTTATCCAAAATTGGACTAAAGATGCTCATACTATGTGGGCCACTCAGACTCAGAGAGATGAGGATATTCAAGATGAAATACAAGAACTAAAAACAGCCGTCAAATGGGTTGGAGATCAATAGATGTACAAAAACAGGTGATGCTAAAATGTGATTGGAATTCTACTCAATTTTGTGTTACTCCTGTTCAATTCAATAATAGTACCTACAACTGAGAACAAATCAAATCTCATTTACAAAACATACATGATAATGCCTCTCCGAATGTAGAATTATGACAAAAAGAAATCTTTGAAACCTTTTCCAAAAATCTGCCCTCTTCCACTAACTTTGAAACTTTAGCTGAACAACTAGCTGATCAATTATCTGGGCTAGAGCCACGCGGATGGTTTCAAAGCATTACGCACAGCATCAGGTCTGGAACTGTAATTTTGGTGATTGTCTTGACGATTGTATTTGTTTACCATTGCCTTCATGCAAAAATTGTTAAAAGAAACTCAAATGGTCAGAACCCTTTTTAACAAATATTGTAAATAAATAAGGGGGAATTGTCAGTGAATGTTTAACAGGAGGATTCTTATGTGCTGTTTCTCATAAATCCTCTGTTCCTTTTAAGTTTCTGTTCTTAGAAACCAGTGGAACAGCACGCTGCTCCCAGGACTGAGGTCATAGGATGAGAGAGGCTTGAATCTCCTTCAGTAAACATTCTCCTTACGACAAAACCGCTTAGTCTTGATCCTTTTTTTTTCGATCCTATTTCTTGAGATATGGATTGTCTCCTGACCTTGTGACCATTATTAATCCCTTGTTCCCTTGTTAACGGCTGCTGTACGTTTGGCTTTCTGATCTTTATTATCATCAAAAGAAATTTCTTGTACAACAGCCTATATATACTCACAGAAAGATCATTAAAGCACTTTTGCTCCATCAGAGCTTGGGTCCCCGTGTCTTTCTCTCTCTCTTACTTTCTTATCATTGACCTTGGACCACCAGGTTCCGGTCCATTAAAGGACCCCAATATATTGCAATGCAATATATTCTTTAATTGTACAACTATTGTTAATACAGCTTTGTTTTAAATTTTTTAAACTTACGGCAAGGGGATATTTTGATAAAAGCAGAAAAAGATTTTGAGGCATCCCTTCCTCTGCCCATCTGGTATTAAGACGGGTTGACTCAACAATGGGAATCTGGAAAATTAATATTACAAGGAAAGGGGTATGCTTGTATTTCTCCAGATGGACCCAAAGAAATCAGCTGGCTCCCTCTTCAGAAGATCCGCCCCAGGGAAGACACCGCCATTCAAGATAGAGAAGAAATGGCGAAATCACCAGGAGGAGGAGTTTCCCGTAGAAGCCATGGTAACTTTAAATTTCCAACAAATGCTGCACTCAAGGTAATTGACCTTATGACCTCCCCACTTGGGGACAGATAAAAACCCTTATTAATCAAGCTGAATATCTGGTTTCTCAATAGGGAATGCCTCAGAATCCAGAAAATATTTTTGTCGCTATGCTTGCTTTTGCTTCCCCCGCTCACGCTGACTTGATTAATCACACTTATTTGGCTTATATATCTAACCCCTCTTTATTTTAGGTTGTAGCAAAGACAGATATAGGACCGGTTGTATGCACTAATGACTCAGTACATATGCCTCGTCCTTGGAGCTTGGAGGGGTGCTTTCATCCTGAGGAAGAAGGAAGATTAATTAACATTTTTCTAGGCTATGAAATCCTTCCTTTATGCATGGGCCCAGCAGAATTATGTACTAATGTTAGTCAACAAACGGCGGCTTTCATCCTGCCTTGAAAAAAAGAACTTCCGCACATTGTTTAGACTGTTTACTGCCCTATCCTCTTATGAGAACCATGTCAATACTACCAAAACTCTAGGAAAAGGACAAAAGTTGGAAGGATTTACTTAATAAGGATTTTAAATACACTCCTGTTTATTGAGATACATTTCAATCTAAATCACGGAAATTAATGTTTGTGCCCAGTTACACCATTGTTGATTGGGGACCCTATGGTATATGGTTATCTAACTGCTCAGATGATATTAACAGTACTATGTGTGATTATGTTACTCAACTAACATGGAAGATTACCAACAGTTCAAAGGAACACTTCCATGACAAAGGACTCCTTGGCTGGCTTGATGGCGGAATGGTACCTCCTCGCCCTCAAAACGGCCTCACTAAACGAATTGGGCCTGAACAATGGGACATCTGGAAACTTGCTACAAACACTGAAAAACTTGGAACTTGGACTGGATATTTCACAGGGACCAGTCATAGTCATAGTAACTATTCCTTTCATTATAATCATTCATATTTTATACAAGCTTGTGTACCCCTTCCTTTTGTTATAGCCATAGGAAACTTAAAATTTAATAAGACTTTACGTTCTGGGGCTTGTATAGACTGCAAATTGTATACTTGTCTTAATTCCTCTATTTCTCTAAAAAAACAAATTCCTTTTGATTCTTCGATCTCGATGTAGTCTGTGGTTGCCAGCAGATCGCCAATAACCTTGGAAAGAGGGTCTCATGCCAAGACCTGCTTCCCAGTTACTCACTAAATTACTGCAACAAGATGGTTGATTCTTGCATTTTGGGATTGATAGCCATTTGCATCACTGCTGCTGTCACAGACATTGCTTTACAAACTTAAAATCAAACACAAAACTTTATTCAAAATTGGATTAAAGATGCTCATACTATATGGGTCACTCAGGTTCAGATAGATGAAAAAGTTCAAGATAAAATTCAGGAATTAAAAACAGCCATCCAATGGGCTGGAGATCAATTAATAGATTCACAAAAACAAGTATTATTAAATTGATTGGAATTCTACTCAATTTTGTATCACTCCTCTTCGGTTCAACCATAGTGCTTACAATTCAGAACAAATCAAATTTCATTTGTAAGATATACATGACAATGCTTCCTTACATGTACAACTGCTGCAAAAGGGAATCCTTGAAACCTTCTCTAAGAGTCTACCCTCTTCCAACAATTTGGAAACCTTAGCTGAACAGCTCGCTGCTCAATTATCTGGGGTAGACCCTCGAAGATGGTTTTAAGGCATTACACATAGTATTGGATCGGGAACTATTAACACTGATAATTATCCTGGTGATTATACTTGTAATAAATAGATGCCTTTCAACTAAAATTGTTCAAACTAAACAAACTCAATTGGTCAGGGCCTTTTCACAAAAAGTATTAACAGTCACCCCCAATCATAAAAAAATAAAAAAGGGTGAACTGTCAGGGGACGTTCAACTTTAAGGGATCCAATATGTTATTTTCTTCTTCTTGTGCCGTTTCTCAAGGACTCTCTATTCCTTATCAGTTCCTGGAAAACATGAACGAGCAGAGCTGCATGCAGTTCTCAGGACTGAGATCATGAGAAAGGCCACCTGCTTGGATTCCTTTCAGTGACTCCCTTCAGTGACCTTTTACTTATAGGTAATCTATTCAGTTATGCCCCTCTTACTCAGGATATGGAATGCTCTCTGGCCCTTTGAAGATTGTTATTTCCTTGGCTTTGTTTCTGCTCAATTTTTTTTTACTGCCTTAAAGCTGCCTTGTATGAAGATACATAACCATGCGTTTCTGCATATAAAGCACCCTTGTCTCACTCGAGACTCGGGTCCCCTGCGTCCTTCTTCTCGTCAACTCCAGTCCCCAGGTCCTGGACAGCTCTGTCTTCAATTTCCACAAATAAGAGTAACTCTTCTTTAATCATACATACAACAGTTATTTCTATCCAATGGAGAACATGACCCTTTTCCTATGCATTGTTCCTAGCACACCACTGGTCGCTGGTAACTGTCCCTCTCCTCCTACGAAAAGCCTAGTCCTTTTAACATCTTGCCTACTCTGTTCAAGGTCAGTTGGTAGAACATTATCTTTTATAACAGGTTGGACTGTGTATGGAAAGGCTTCCTGATCTTACTGACCATGATGAGTCATGTCCTAGGTTTACATTATTTTCCACCCTCCCTGTTGCTAATTCACACACACTACTTAAATTCATAATTCAGGCTGTGTGTTTTTCCAGGAAACACGGATCTGAATGAATCGTATCTAATGAAGTTGGCCCCTTCATCTCACTGATTCCTTCCCAGAGACCATCATGAAACACATGTAGCAAATGCGTTTGATCAATGTATTACCAAAGCCAAGCTCTTAGAGCTCACCATGCAACAGGCCAATAAACTACTTGTTGGGCAAGGAATATTGACTTTATTCAGAAAGCCAGGAGACCAAAAAGATGGTGGACTTCTGTCCCAAAGAATCATCTTTGCTGAGTTAGAATTCGGGTTTCTTTTACGCGAAAAGATCTCTATAGCTTCTCTTCAACTATGGACTTACTACAGTTGCTGAGTAACTGAACTAAAGTCATCAGAGAATACATAAAGTGAAAAAGGTAAAGATTTGCCACAACCACTGAGTCTGGGAAGTATGGCTCCATTATGTTCCTGTCTTGTGACTTTTGGGTAAGATCCTTGCCACACACATTACATTGCTGTGTGTTTTTTCCAGGATAAATACTCTGATACTACTGGCAAGATGTGAGCTGTGAGGACAGGGTTTTTTTTTTTTTTTTTTTCACATTTGTGAAACTGGTCAGGAATCTTTCTAGAATGAATTCATGTTCTAAAGACCTGACTAATAAATACGTATTTATCTGGCTTCTATCCAGTATGAATTTTCTCATGAAGCCTGAGATGTTGCCACACTCATCATATTTGTATGGTTCCTCAGTAGTATGAATTCTCTGACCAACGGTAGGGTGTGAAGTTTGAACTTTGAATTTTGAAGACTTCTACCATATACCACATTCACGTAAGTTTCTCTCTGGTATGGATTTTCTGATGTTTAGTGAGTGCTGAGACCTGAGTAAAGGATTTTCCACACTCGAAACATTTGAAAGGTTTCTCTATATGTATTCTCCGATGACTTGCAAGGTGTGAATTTCGACTGAAGAACTTGCCACAGTCATTACATCTGAAAGGTCTCTCTCCAGTATGAATTCTCCAATGAATGCGAAGATGTGGTTTTTGACTGAAGACTTTTCCACACTCATCACATTTGTAAGGTTTCTCACCAGTATGAACTGTCTGATGACTTAAAAGGGTTGACTTTACACGAAAGGCCTTGCCACACTCATCACATTTGTAAGGTTTCTCTCCAGTATGAAATCTCTTATGACTTATGATCTGTGAAGGCTGACTAAAGTGCTTGCCACACTCATTACATTTGTAAGGTTTCTCTCCAGTATGAACCCTCTGATGACCACCAGCAAGGTATTCATTTCGGCTGAAGACTTTGTCACATAAATCACATTTAAATAATTTCTTTCCTGTATGAATTTTGTGATGTCTCCTGAGGTGTGAGCTGGCAGTAAAGGCCTTGCCACACTCATCACATTTGTAACGTTTCTCACCAGTATGAATTGTCTGATGCCTTAAAAGGCTTGACTTTACACGAAAGGCCTTGCCACACTCATCACACTTGTAAGGTTTCTCTCCAGTATGAACTGTCTGATGACTTAAAAGATTTGACTTTACACGAAAGGCCTTGCCACACTCATCACATTTGTAAGGTTTCTCACTAGTGTGAACCCTCTGATGGCCAGCAAGGTATTCATTATGGCTGAAGACTTTGTCACATATATCACATTTAAATAATTTCTTTCCTGTATGAATTTTCTGATGTTTCCTGAGGTGTGAGCGAGCAGTAAAGGCCTTGCCACACTCATCACATTTGTAACGTTTCTCACCAGTATGAACTATCTGATGACTTACGAGGATTGACTTTACACGAAAGGCCTTGCCACACTCATCACATTTGTAAGGTTTCTCACCAGTATGAATTGTCTGATGCCTTAAAAGGATTGACTTTACACGAAAGGCCTTGCCACACTCATCACATTTGTAAGGTTTCTCTCCAGTATGAACTGTCTGATGACTTAAAAGGATTGACTTTACACGAAAGGCCTTGCCACACTCATCACATTTGTAAGGTTTCTCACCAGTATGAATTGTCTGATGCCCTAAAAGGACTGACTTTACACGAAAGGCCTTGCCACACTCATCACACTTGTAAGGTTTCTCTCCAGTATGAACTGTCTGATGACTTAAAAGGATTGACTTTACACGAAAGGCCTTGCCACACTCATCACATTTGTAAAGTTTCTCTGCAGTATGAAATCTCTTATGACTTATGATCTGTGAAGGTAGACTAAAGTGCTTGCCACACTCATCACATTTGTAAGGTTTCTCTCCAGTATGAACCCTCTGATGACCAGCAAGGTGTGCATTTTCACTGAAGACTTTGTCAGACATACCACTTTTAAATAATTTCTTTCTTGTATGAATTTTCTGATGTCTCTTGAGGTTTGAGCTGTCAGTAAAGGCCTTGCCACACTCATCACATTTGTAAGGTTTCTCACCAGTATGAACTGTCTGATGAGTTAAAAGGCTTGGCTTTACATGAAAGGCCTGGCCACACTCATCACATTTGTAAGGTTTCTCTCCAGTATGAATGGTCTGATACCTTAAAAGGACTGACTTTACATGAGAGGACTTGCCTTTGTAAGGTTTCTCATCAGTATGAAATCTCCTATGAGTTCTAAACTGTGAAGATTGACTAAAGTGCTTGCCACACTCATTACATTTGTAAGGTTTCTCTCCAGTATGAACCCTCTGATGAACAGCAAGGTATGCATTTTGGCTGAAGACTTTGTCACATATATCACATTTAAATAATTTCTCTCCTGTATGAATTTTCTGATCTCTGCTGAGGTTTGAGCTGTCAGTAAAGCTTTTGCCACACTCATTACATTGGCAACTTCTCTTTCTTGTAGGGATATTCTGAGGACTTACCATAAATGAATTCTGACCAAAGATTTCACCACATACATCACACTTATGTAAGTTTGCTCTTGAGTGGATTATCTGATGTCTAGCAAGGGTGGAGCTACCATTAAAGGTTTTGTCACACTCATTACATTTGTAACGTTTCACTTCAGAATGAATTTTCAAATGACATGCAAGCTGTGAACTTTGATCAAACAATTTGTCACATACTTCACATTTATGTGATTCCTCTCTTATATGGATGGCCTGATGTTTAATGAGGCATGAGCCCTTAAGACAGGCTTTCCCACACTCATCACATTTGTAAGGTTTTACCCTGTGTGCTTTGAGGTCTTGTGTTATTACTGAAGGATTCATAAAATCATTCCCATATATATTAGAAACACTGGTTTGGACACAAGGAGGACTTCTTTGAAGTGGTGAAAATGAGAAACTGTTGTTGACAGACCTCTCAACTTCATTATTTTCAGAAGTTATCAGGCCAGTTTGAAGTATCTGCAGTTTATCTTGAAAGTTAAACCCAAGCCTGTTTCCAAAGGGCGTGATTCCTGCATCCTTTCTATCATGTGACTCTCTTCCATCAGGCACATTTCCATTAAGGCTTACAGGTGTTCCTTTGTAATTTCTTTTGTCATCTCTCCCCTGACACTCAAAGTCACACACATTTTCCTGACGTTCCCAAAGATGAAAATGTTTGATTTCATAGCTTTCAGGTCTTCCCAGCATCAACGTTTGGAGTGGTTCTCGTTTATCACTGTTCACTTTGGGTTGTAAATGCTTGATCACATGTGTAGGAGAGATATCTACAAGATAAAAAGAACCATAGATATCCTGCTCACAATGATTCAAAAATAAATGTTTCATGTTGAGTATCTATGACAGCAAAATACTTACACCAAGTTATGAAACATGACAATGATGACCTTAGGTCTTTAGAAACACTAAAGGAATAGAATTCTTAACTTAAGAAAGCATGATAACATAAATTCACCATTAAGGTAACCTAGTTTTAAAAACCATATGCCAAACACACTCACACTGGATAATCTTATGCCCACTCTCACAAACAGAGTATTTTTCTATGAGGACCTCTAGGAAGGTATCAATCGACAGCTGTCTCAAATTGAAAAGAAAAATATTACACTATTATTGTATTCTGCATACTTACTGTACATAAATAAATTCTAAACAATATATTATATATTGTAACAGTAAATAATCCCAAACCAAGCTTACCCAATAATTAACTACTCATAATTGGTTGTTTACAATTGAAAACAAATGAGAAAATGAGGAATATGACTAAAACAATTTTTTGGAAACAACATAGTTTTCTAAATCTGCTATAGAACTATGTACCCAAAAAGAAAGGCATTTTACAATGTTAACAAGTAGTATGTGTCAGCTGTATTGCAGAATACACGCTAAAGGACCATCATCTGTAAATGACACATAAATTGAGACGTAAAATATTCAACAGTTTTCTAACAGCCAAGAACCAAAGCAATCCCTGCCTATGTTGTTGTTCAGTCACTCAGTTGTGTTTGAGTCTTTGTGACCCCGTGGACTGTACCCACTGGACTCCTCTGTCCATGGGATTTCCCAGGCAAGAATAATGGAGTGGGTTGCCATTTCCTTCTCCATGGGATCTTCCTGACTCAGGGATCAAACCTGCATCTTCTGCATCAGCAGGTGAATTCTTGACCACTGAGCCACCAAGGAAGGCTAATCTCTAGCTGTGCACTGTTCTTAATTACCTGGTTAAATGGCACGAAAATATAATAAATATAAAGTGAGTGCTTTGTATATTTATTGACTAGGGTCAGACACAGTATTGCTGAAAAATGTTGCAAGTGAAAAGCATACAAGGTATAATGTAGTAGAGGTTTGACAGAAAACAAAATTCTGTAAAGCAATTATCCTTCAATTAAAAAATAAGTAAAAATTTAAAAAGATATAATGTAGATAAAGTCATATCATCAAGAACATGACAGAATATAGATATTACCTTTTTTAAACAAAAGTTAATTGAGTATTTACTATAAAACATGCACTACTGTAAGCCAACTGACAGCACTAACTTGCTTTAAAAGGCTTGAGGTAAATTAACATGTTTTTCTCTAATCAGAGCAGGAGACACACCCAATTGGCCCACAAAGTGGTAAGAGAACCAAGATATGAATCTGAACATACAGACTGAGAAAACTTATTTGTAAACAAGACTATCCACAGAAAGAGTAGATTAGAAAATATTTTAAAAAAAAAACAAAACAAGGAACTTAGAAAATACCAAGGAAGATATAAGACAGAAGTAGTCTGTTTTATTATTCAACTATCCCATCTTGAAATGGTTTGTGAGTCATCATGGATGCACAGAGCGATTGAGGTCATGTCCTGAGAAACTTGTTCAATAAATGACCAGAGATTATCTTTATAGTGAGAGCATGTTAGAAGCTGGAGGGATGTGGTAGGTAAGAACAATGTTTCCATCCGTATTAAGGTACTATGTGAGGAATGGTCAGGACTAAGAAAGGGCCTGCGTGGAGCATAGGGTACACAGGCTGATGTCAGATATCAGCTTGGGACTGCATGTCTTTGTGAAAATAACTGAGAGCGCAAATTAATATAGTGACCTTAAAAGAAAAGAACTGGTTCAGCAACTTTATGCGCATTATTTCCAGGAGCCACCACACACAATCCCACCCATGACAAGGTCATGAGGAGAAAACATGACAAGCAAGGCAGATCAGGATTCCAGGGATTTCGAAAAGCTGTCCCTGGTGCTCACCTTAAAGATGATATCTGTCTTTCTGATGCTTGCTCTAATAGACTACTCCCTAATTTCGGTGACACAGGCAGAAGGCCTTCCCTGATCTCTCTCCTAATAAGAATCAACTTAGAACTTTGATCAATATGTCTCTCGGGTGCTATCTTATGAGATTATCCAGGGTGAAAGGAGTGTTTCAATTTAAACTCCTTTGCTGGCATTCTAGTTTGTTTATCAAATGCGTCCATGCCCTTGGTACTAATATGCATGACTGCTTATAATACCCTAATCATAAAACAGCATAAAGAACCTGATCATATAAAGGCCCTAATAGACATAGAGCCCTTTGCGGGGTGAGGAAGCCCTATTAGAGAACACAAGAAAACTTATTCTAAAAGTGGTTATCGGGTTAACGTTTGCTTGCTGTGCTTTTGCCCTTAATGTGCTAAGGTTTTGTTATGGAAACCATTGTTAATATAGTTAAAGATCTAGAAAAATAAGAGCTTAGCCCTAATGTGGCAACAATGAGATGGTTGTTAATTATTAGCCAGGAGTGCTAGGCAGGGGCTGCCTCACCGAAGCTGCAGAGTCTGTGTGGGATAAACCTCATAGATAAATATAACTGACAATTTCTGCAGAAGAATTGACCTTTGTATTAACAAGGTTATACTTCTACTATGTTGTGACATGCTGTACTGTTGCCCTATGAGACTGTAACTTTTCTGTTAAGATCACCACAGAAACGGAAAATAGGTTTACATTCACCTGACTTGCATAAAATGTTAATAGGCCCCAAGGCCAGAAGATAATGTGCAAAGATTTATTATAGAAATAAAATGCAGCAAACATCCTGTTCTCCCTAAAGGACAAGGTGATGTAATGTTAAACTATCTTCTCCTCAGAAATGTACTAACTTAGAGTATAAAAGGTACAGTAAAAAGTAAAGCATTGCCAGACTCTGCTGCACACCCCAGTCTGGTCTCTCCCTTTCTCTCTCTCTCCAATGCCGTTCATCCTGAGGGTACCCCTGGATCCTGCTGAGGCTGGACCCCGGCACATTATACTATGGGTATAATAGAAACAAGAAAGATAGAAACAAGATAGAAAGATAGAAACAAGAGATTTTAAAAGTCACTGTGATATATGGAGAAAGCAGGATAATACTATTTACAATGTAATGTATCCAACTGTGAATTTTGTAAGTTACAATGGAATACTTATATTCAAGAAAAACATACACAATATTCCAGGATATTGTGTAATAATCCTATTAGCAGAAATCAGAAGGAACATCCACGAAAAGGCTATCTAAACCTGGGTTCCTCTGCCAAGTATGATTAACCTCTCTACTGGACATTTACTTCGTTTCTTCTTCCACACATATTCATCTCAAGATCGAGGAGTATCAAAGAAAAGGAAGGATCGAAACTGACTCTGGAGGACCTTCCCAGTTACAAAAGCCTTTCTGAGGCATCCAACTCCTTTTTGTAGAAAAAGGCTTTATTCTCCTAGACGTTCCCTGAGTTCAAAAGAGCAGATTCAAACAGCTACTAATACATAAAAGGATCATAAGCCATGATCAAGTGGGATTTATTGCAGGGATGCAAGATTTCTCAATATCCAAAAGTTAATCAGTATGATACACCACATTAACAGTTGAAGACTAAAAACCATATGATCATCAATAGATGCAGAAAAGGTTCTGACAAAATTCAAGTGCCATTTATGATAAAAACCCTTCAGAAAGTCAGCACAGTTGGACCCTACCTCAACATAATTAAGACTGTATATGTCAAACACACAGCTAATATCATACTCAACAGGGAAAAACTGAAAGCGCTCCCCCCTTAACAACATGAATAAGACAAGAATGTTCACTATTGCCACTTTTACTGAACATATTTTTGGAAGTCCTAGCCACAACAATCAGAAAAGAAGAAGAAATAAAAGGAATTCAAGTTAAAACAAATAAAAAAGAAGTAAAACTGTCACCATGATGCTACACACAGAAAATCCCGAAGATGCCACCAGATGACTACTAGACCTCATCAATGAACAGAGTAAACTTGCTGGATACTAAATATACAGAAAAGTGCTGCATTTCTACACACTAATAATGATATATCAGAAAGTGAAATTAATGAAACAATGCCATTCACCATCTCATAGAAAAGAATAAAATTCTAAGGAATAAACCTACCTAAAAAGTCAAAAGAACTGTACTCATAAAACTGTAAGAAGCTGATGACTGATACCAAAGATGACACAAACAGATGGAAACATATACCATGTTCTTGGATTGAAAGAAGTACCACTGTCAAAATGACCATACTATCCAAGGCAATCTACATATTCAATGCAACCCTTATCAAATTAATGATGACATATTTCATAAAACAAAGAAAAACTTACTTTGTACCAAAACACAAAAGACTCTGATATCTAAAACAATCTTGAAAAGGAAGAACAAAGCTGGAGGAATCATGTTCCTTGAGTTCAGACTATACTACAAACTTACAGTCATCAAAGTGAAAGTGAAGTCGCTTAGTCGTGTCCGACTCTTTACAACCCCATAGACTGTAGCCTACCAGGTTCCTCTGTCCATGGGATTTTCCAGGCAACAGTACTGAAGTGGGTTGCCATTTCCTTCTCTAGGAGATCTTCCTTACCCAGGGATTGAACCTGGGTCTCCTGCACTGTAGGCAGATGCTTTACCGTCTGAGCCACCAGGAAAGTGGTATGACAATGGCACAAAACAGAACACAGATCGGTGGAACAGGATAGAAAACCCAGAAATAAACCAATTTACTTATAGTCAATTATTCTATAACAAAGGAGAAAAGAATACTGAATGAAGAAGCCTCTTTAATAAGTGATGCTGGGATAAATGGATAGTTACATGAAAAAGAATGAAATTACAACACTGTCTAACACCACATACAAAAATAAACTCAAAATGTATTAAACATCTAAATGCAAGACCAGATATTATAAAATTCATAGTGGAAAACAAATGCAAAACACTGACATAAATGTCAGCAAAATTTTTTTGGATCTATCTCTTAGAGTCATGGTAATAAAAGCAAAATCAAACAAATGAGACCTAATGAAATTTAAAACCTATTTGCAAAGCAAAGGAAACCAAAAAGAGAACAAAAATACAACTTTTGGACTAGGAGACTATATATGCAAATGATGCTACCTATAAGGGATTTATTTCCAAATATACAAACAGTTCATACAGCTCAATATCAAAACGAACAAACAAAAAACCAATCAAAAACTGGGCAGAAGATCAAAACAGGTATTTCTCCAAAGGAGACAAACAGATGGCCAACAGTCACCTGAAATGATGTTCGAGGTCTCTACTTATTAGAGAAATGCAAATCAAAATCAGCTGACACTGGTCAGAATGACCACCATCAAAAAGCCTACAAACAATAAATGCTTGAGAGGGTGTGGAGAAAAGAGAACCTTCCTACACTGTTGGAAGGGACATAAACTGGTACTGCCACTTTGGAGAATAGCATGGAGGTTCTATAAAGAACTAAAAATAGAGCTATCACCTGAACCAGTAATTCCAATCCTGGGCATATATCCAGAAAGGATGAGAACTAATTCAAAATCATACACTCACCCCAATGTTTTTAGCAGCACTGTTTATACCAGGCAAAACATGGCAGCAACCTAAATGTTCACTGACAGACAAAGGGATAAAGAATATGTGGTACACATATACAAGGGAATATTGTGAAGTGAAAGTAGCTCAGCCGTGTCCAACTCTTTAAGACCCCATAGCCTGCAGCCCACCAGACTCCCCTCTCCATGAAATTCTCCAGGCAAGGACAATGGAGTGGGTTGCCACCTCCACAGCATAAAACACAATGAAGTAATGCCTTTTGCAGCAATATAGACAGACTGAGGGAGTATTCTAAGTGAAATCAGACAGAGAAAGACAAATATCATAGGATATTGTATGTTGAACTGAAATAAATGATACAAATGAAGTTATTCACAAAATAAACTCACCAGCATAAATAACAAACTTATGCTTACCAAAGGGGATAGTGCAGGATGGTGGCAGGGGCAGGAAAGAGAGAGATATATTAGGAGTCTGAATATATACAAACTAATATATATACAAAATAGATAAACAACAAGAACCTACGACTTAACTCAGGGAACTATATTAAGTATCTTGTAAATTGCTATACACCTGAAACACAACACTGTAAATTAACTATACCTAAAAAGTGGAGAAGGAAATGGCAACCCACTCCAGTATTCTTGCCTGGAGAATCCCAGGGACAGAGGAGCCTGCTGCGCTGCCGTCTATGGGGTCACACAGTCGGACACAGCTGAAGCGACTTAGCATGCATGCATGCATTGGAGAAGGAAATGGAAACCCACTTCAGTGTTCTTGCCTGGAGAATCCCAGGGACAGAGGAGCCTGGTGGGCTGCCGTCTGTGGGGTCGCACAGAGTCGGACACGACTGACGCGACTTAGCAGCAGCAGCATACTTAAAAAGAATGGTTAAAACAAAAACAAAAACACCTCTTGCGGAGATGTTCAAACGATGTTTCACAAGGGTATAAAAACTACTAAATGGGGGAAGCAGTCTATGAAACAAGACATGTTGACAAAACTGAATACCCACCAGCAAAAGAATTTACTTGGAACATTATCTTACACTAAAGACAAAAGTGAACTCAACATGGTTCAAAGACCTGAACTGAAGTCCCAAATGTATAAAACTTCTAGAAGTAAACGTGCAGGAAATGTTTCTGGAAATTGGACCCACAAATGATTTACCAGATATAACACCAAAAGCACAGGCCACAAAATAACACCAGATATTAATAAATTGAACTATATCAAAATTATAAACTGCTGTCCATTAAAGTGCAGTGAGTTTGAAAAGACAATCAACAGTAAAAGAGAAAATATGTGGAAATCATATATATCATAGTAAATGAGTACCAAGAATATACAAAGAATTTTAAGAGGGACTGATCACCAGTTCCACTGTAGGGACCATTCCCCAATCAACCATCCAACGCATTGCAAATACAAAACAGAAACACTAAGAGTAACAGAAATTTGAACTCAATGATAAAATAACAAAATACTTACAATGCACAAAACAACAGTGCAGCCAATAGCCTCACAGATATGAGAATGTGAACTTGGACAAAGTTGTCCTGGTATAAATTCCCATACCATTTACAGAGGCTAAAATATATGGTCCTTGATACACATGAACAACACTGTCATGGTGCCCTTGACAGAGTCTCCAAAGCCAGAAAATAACCTGGAAAGATGTATCAGGCTCTCGTGATACTTTCTCTCTCATAATCTTAGAATATACCAACCACTCTACTGGATAGCTTCAAGTGGTGACTCAGAACAGAGCAAGAAAATAACATTAAGAACAGTGTCTCCATCACAGTTTTCTGTTACCTAGTAAATCCACTCTACAGAGACTCACCAGAGGCGGCCAATTAAACATAGGTGGATTATCACAGTAAGGAAACCAGATAAAATTTCAGACCCTCAGGAATATATTTCAAAGAAATTTAAGAGGTAAAATGATACAAAGAAAGGAGAATGTAACATTGAGAAGAGCTGACATTCCCAACTGGGTAGAGCAGTACAAGAGTAAAAATAATACAGCATGAAGGTCAGATATTACATGATCTTGAGATGGGACCATGCACTCGACCTACAGATGGCAAGCTAAGAGCCCGCGAGATTCACATATGCTCCCCTTGTAGGATCTAGGATCAAAAAGTCGATCTCTCTACCCACTCTTCTTACATCTTCCTAAGTAACAAACACAGAGGATCCAATCCACCAGCTTGTCCCACACCTAAGCAGAAAAAAACCAGTGCTTTTGAGATACTCATTTTTCTTTATACATTGTATCTTTGGCTATTTCTACATCACTCCCCACTGTCCAGCGTTTTCTCTCCTGCTCCAATGTGGAGATAACATTCAGATCAGAAACAGAAATTCTGGGACTCCCCTGGTGATCCAGTAGTTAAGACTCTGCACTTCCAATGCAGGGGGTACAGGTTTGATCCTTAGTCAGGGAACTAAGATCCCACATGCAGAATGGTGCAGCAAAAAAAAAGTAAACAAGCAAGCAGAAACAAACAAAAAGAAATAGAAATTCAGGGTTATCAGAAGAAAGAAATCTAAAGTGCTGTGGATATTTTTAAGCACTGAGCCAAAAGTCAAGGTAGAAAACAGGAAATCAGGGTTATCGTGGTTTATTTTTTTAACATCTGCCAGCGAGCTTTGTACATAATTAAGCTCTGGGACAACCTCAGATGTGACATGAAATGGACACAGCATCTGAAGCGGGTCAGTTTAACCTTGTGAAGCTGTGTCATGCCCGAGTCACCAGAACTCTTAGATGAAAGACATCAGGGCCTCCCAAGGGGCACACACGGAAAATGCAGATACCCAAGGGCAGCTCTGGAAGGAAGTCATCCTCACCCACAGACAGCAGGTTCCTGTAGGTCTCCAGCATCACATCCCTGTACAAGGCCCTCTGAGCAGGGTCCAGGAATTCCCATTCTTCCTGAGTGAATTCGATGGCCACATCCTCAGAGGTCAGTCGTTCCTGAAATGAAACCACATGTCACCAAAAGGGCCATGAAAAGTTCTCATTTTCATGCAAAAGAGAAAGGGTAGTAAGGGGTAAGGATTGACTTGGTTGAAGTGTGTGTTCTAACAGATCCAAGCAGGGGTATCTGGACAAATTAAGGATCTCTAATTTTAATTTCTTACACTTTTTCATAAGAACTTATGAGATCCTCCAATTAATATGGATTTTTTCATCATTGTTCAAAATCCATGAACTATATATAAATAAAACTCAACACCGTATTGGCTATACAGAAGTGTCAGATATTACATTCTACCCAGTGAGTGCAATTCATTATCTAGAGGAAGTACACCATGAGTGGTGTCTTCAGAGAGGACGAAGTCCACAGCACTTTTAACGGAAAGGTCAAAATTTTCAGTTATGACGTTGAGAACAGCAGCAAGGGCCAAAAGTGTCTGAAGGCTTCCTGTTGCTCTAAATTACTGTAGTATTACTCTAAACATTAAATAAGTACTTTACAGGCAAGAACCTGTCATCAATATAATAGCTCACTGAAGAACGATCTGTTCCCACCTTACAGAAGAAAAACCGTGTCACAGACACTCTGAGAAACTCGACTCAGATCAAGAAGGTAAGAAATGTTACACGAAGCACCTGAACTCAGAGGCTTGGGCTCAGCAACTGAAGCTTAAGCATCTAACAGTTAGTAATACAGAGAACATTAAAAGTCCTTTGACACAGGGCTCCTAAAGAAAACTTGAAAGAAGTCCAAGGCGAGCCTCCTCCCTGCCCCTCTGTCTTCTCTGCAGGGGGAGCAGCTCTCAGGCCCCGGGCCTTCATCCCCTGAAAATGGACGCCTGCGCCGAATTCGTCTCCACCCACTCCCTGATCGGGAGAACCTCCCCACTGCGTAGTCATCACTGTCCGCAGTGGTGAAGGAACGGAGACACTGACCAATGAGGGCCACGGCAGCGTGGCAGCCCCGGGTCCCTGGACCATCTCACTCATTCCTAGCAGCAGCTTCCAAGCCAGCGCCATCTCACGCGGCGCTGACACAGCAGCCAAGTGCCCTGGAGCAGGAGCTGCCAGAGCAGGGGAGGCTGGGTCCAGGGCTGGAGGTGGGACCGTGGGCGGGAGCGTCATCACTGTTACCCAGGAACCCTTCTCTGAAACAGCAGCTGGTCTGCACCATGGGCTTGGCCCTCTCAAAGGCCATGGGGCTCTTTTGCCTGATGGTGCTCTAGAGCTCATCTTCCTCACGACGTGAAGGAGCTGCTTCCACCTCCCACAGTTCTTTCTCCTGTGTCTGCCCTGTGTGTTCCCTTTCCTGTAACTCCCCAGGCAGCCTGGGGAAAGTGGTGGGCTCAGGGTTTGACAGAAGGAAAGCAAATAAATATTGTATTAATGTGAAAAAAAAAGTCCAAGGTGAACAATATGGAATGGCATGAAAGGTCATTACACATGTGGATACAGAAACAGAGCTGTTAGCAACTTACTGCTTAAAACACTAACAGGATTGTTTAGAAAATTTCAAGGCCACAGATTATACTGATAACATAATTTCAACTGAAGAAAACGGTAATGTGTAGTTTTCAAATCATGATGTCTTCTATCTAAACCACAGACTGGCACATGCATGCATATATATCTATAAAAAATTAACTCAAATGAGAGGATTCGTCTCCTGACAGACTTTTTGGTCAATTGTATATCATCCTTTTATTCACATGTATTTCAGCATCTTTCAGAAGATAAAAATGTATCCTTTGTACTCAGCTGAGTTTATCAACAGGATTCTATACTAGGCTACCAAAAGAAAACATAAAAACATTAAAAAAAAATACTTGAACTCAAATCATAATAAAAATACAAATACATACAGAAATACAAATACAATTTTATCCATTTAAATTTATATAGCAAGGCATTAACAGAAGCCAAAGAGTTTCCTATTTCTTCCATTAATAAAACAGTGATTTGAAATTAGAAGAGTCATTAGATTATGACAAAAAGAAATTATCACAAGAGTAAAGTAAAAAAACTTCTTGGAGAATTAAAAATCATGGCAAAAAAGAATATGGAAAAAATATATAGTTATTAAGCAAGACTATCTCAAGAAACATCATGATGGGAAGGAAACATTCAATACATTCCTTCTGAAATTACACTGGTATGAAAGGAGCTGTCTAGGGTGCCTGTCTTTCACCAGGATAGGATGCCCATGAGCAGGGCCCACTAGAAGAAGTAACAGGAGGAAAAACACAGGCCAAGAGACACAGAGTTTATAAGAGAGTTGAAACAGGTAGTACTCACTAACCTAAGGACATGGAAAGGTAAAAAGTGAAAGGATAAAAAAAGACAGTCCATCCTAAAGAGAGCAGGGGAGACTGTTATATCAGACAAAATAAATGGAAGAAATAACAACTTCAATGAAATAAATATTGTATAATGATTAAATGGTCAATCTACCAAAAAGTTGTTAACAAGTAAAAATATATATACATCTAACATTAGATATCTCAGAAAAATGAAGCAAACATTAAGTGAAAGGAAGACAGAAACAATGGCACAGGAATAGTACAAGATTTCAATGTTCAGTTGAACAGGCATGTACAGATCACACGGCCCAACTAAAGCATAAAACATATGCATCTCAAGGACACATAAAACATTCTCTATGAGAGACCACAAGTTAGGATAAAATTAACAATTTTAAGAGACTGACACTATAAAAGTATCTTCCCTAACATCAATGAAATAAACACAAGTAAACAAGAATATTCCCCAAATGTGGACATTAAACAACTCACTCTTACACCACAAATGGGTCTAAGAAAAAAATCACATAGAAAATTTTAAATACATGGATGAAAATGAAAAGACAACAGTACAAAATTTGTAACACACAAAGACTGTATTAAAAGAAAGTCTGAACTGTTAAATGCTTACAGTAAAAAAGAGAAAAGATCTTAAATCTGAAATCTATTGCTAGATCTCTAGCAAGTAGAAAACAGAAAACAAACTAAACTCAAGTTTAGCAGAAGGAAACAGGTAAATAAGAAAGATTAAACCAGAGAAAATAGAAAGTAGAAAAACATAAAAATCAACAAACCAAGAGTTGATGTTTTGAAAAAACTGTATAGGAAAACCCCCACCTAAGGAAAAGAGAAAACCAGATTCAAATAACGAAAAACAGATATGAAACAGGAGTGATTACAACTGAGGTCAAAGAAAGTTTCTACAGATAAGGAAGTACTAGGACCAATAATGCCTATAAATGACAGAATACAGGAGATACTGGCAAATTCTCAGAAACATACAAAGTATTTTACTTACTAAGAAATTAAAAAATCAAGAAGTGTTGAAAGTGAAAGTGTTAGCCACTGAGTCGTGTCGGACACTTTGTGACCTCACGAACTGTAGCCCACAAGGCTCCTCTGTCCATGCAATTTCTCCAGACAATACTGGACTAACCAGCCATTCCTTTCTCCAGGGAATCTTCCCACCCAGGGATAGAACCTGGGTCTCCTGCACTGCAGGCAGATTCTTTATGATTCGAGTCATCAGGGAAGCCCATTGTAACTAGAGAGATTTAAAAAGTAGTCAGAAACCTCTGAGAAAAATAGGGGACCAAATTCTAACATTTACAAATAATTACCACTAATCCTGCTAATTCTATGGAGCAAGCATGATTCTAATAGTTTGCTGATTTCCCAAAGACACAAGAAAGGAAAACTGGAAACCAATGCCCCTGACGAATACTCATGCGAAACTAAAATACCTGCAAACAAACTTCAACACGTATTAAAAAGATCTGGAGAAACAGACATAGAGAACAGACGGAGGGGGGAGGGGAGGAAGGAGAGCGTGAGATGTATGCAGAGTAACTTGGAAACTTACATTACCATATGTAAAGTAGAGAGCCAATGCGCATTTGCTGAATGACTCAGGGAGCTCAAACAGGGGCTCTCTAACAACCTACAGGGGTGGGATAGGGAGGAAGATGGGAGGGAGGGGACATATGTATACCTATGGCTGATTCATGTTGGTATTTGGCAGAAAACAACAACCTCTGTAAAGCAATTATCCTTCAGTTAAAATAATTTAAATAAATAAATAAAAAGATCTGATACCATGACCAAGTGGGTTTTATTCATATAAGGCAAGGAGAAGTCAACATATAAAAATCAATTAATATGACATACTACATTAACAGATTAAAGGAAAAAAAAAACACAGGATCATCTCGATGCAGAAAAAACCCATTCGACAAAAATTTGACAACCCTTCAAGATGGAACACTCAAGAAACTACAAACAATAAATTATACCAACATCAACATAATAAATGACATTATGAAAAGAGCACAGCAATGGGGAAAGAATTAAAACTTTTCCTCTGAGGTCAAGAAGGCAAGGATGCACACTCTGCACTACAGTTCAACAAAGAACTGAAACTCTTGGAGCAATTAGATGAGAAAAAGAAATCAAAGGGCCCCAAAATGAAAAAGAAGTACATTAATCTTTCCCACATGACAAAATTTCATAGTTAAAAATCATAAAGATTACAAAAGAAATACGGTATATCAAAAAAGATTCTTTAATAACCACACAAAGGGTCAATCTACCAATTAACTCATTGCAATACTCCTGAAGAAGGAAGATAGAGGTCTTTCTATTTCAAAACCTATTACAAGGTAATCGAGGTGATGTAGTACTGGTATGCTGCTGCTAAGTCACCTCACTCGTGTCTGATTCTGCGAGACCCCATAGACGGCAGCTCACCAGGCTCCCCTGTTCCTGGGAGTCTCCAGGCAAGAACACTGGAGTGGGTTGCCATTTCCTTCTCCAATGCATGAAAATGAAAAGTGAAAGTGAAGTGGCTCAGTTGTGTCCAACTCTTCGCAACCCGATGGACTATAGCCGACCAGGCTCCTCTGTCCATGGGATTTTCCAGGCAAGAGTACTGGAGTGAGTTGCCATTGCCTTCTCCAGGTACTAGTATAAAAACAGACA